CCCTGGAATTAATGTGTTTGTGTGTTGATTTGGGGCCCTGGATTTAATAAAGAGGACTAGCAGGTTGAAAAAAAGTGAAATTCAGCCACAATTTTATTAATAATAAGAAATTTTATCTATTTAAATATGATCTTGCCTGCAGGTCTTTGTTTCTGCTGTTTTGAAATCAGTGGCTCCAGTTCTTCAGTTGTCTTTCCTAGACTTCAATTCCAAACTTAGTTTCTCTTCTCTACTAAGATGGCCAGTCATTTGTTCGAAGCAATTTCTAATAAGTAAAATCTAAAACTAGAGGTTGTTGCCAATATTTTAAAATGTAATGTCATGGTTGTTGGAGAGGCAAAACACTGAATCATACTTTAAAAATGTTGGTCTGACAAGGCAACAGTCATAGGTTGGGTCACTGAAACTGTAGCACATTTCCTTTTTTTCTTTTCCGAATTAGTAGCAATTTTTCCACAGAGCCCACTTCACTGGTAAAAAAGAATCCTGAAAATTATTTAAAAGAAGATTTTCATACTCTTTATTAACCACAACATGCATTGAACTAGCTTTGAGATACAGGAACTATTTAGTATTGTGTGTATGGCTAGCTGGAGTTCAGGGGGAATAAAAAGATAACTGGATATGTTCTCTTTCTCCAGTACGGTTTGCCCTCCATTGCCTGTTATATTCCATTCACATCCTTCTGAAGATCAGAGTGGGACTAACCATCTGCAGTGTTTTAGTAATTCTTTGTGGTTCTGAAATGCAAGTCGGCTAATTAGTGCTTGGCTAGTTGCATAAGAATTACCTAGGAGAGTTTGGTAGATTCTCAACTTTTCTGTTCCCTCTTTTTTTTTTTTCCCAGTTGGTCTGGGATAGTACCTGGGAATTAAAGGTCTCCAGCAGACAAGTGTGGAAATTATTGTCCCAGAGGTTTTTGAATAGGTGTCCAAGGCAAGAATGCTATCCATGGATGGAATTTCAGTAGAGATGTTACCGCCAAACATTCCATGACTTTTCCCTCCAAATTTACAGGTTGGACTGTGTACGAAACAAAATGTGGGTTGCCGCCTTTGGAGTGATTTCTACTTTCTTGGCAGTGGTGAGTGGCTTTGGCCTGCTGTTGCACATGGGGGTGCCATTTGTGATCATAGTTGCAAATTCACCATTTCTTATTCTAGGTGAGTAAAACAAAATGTAAGGCTACAAATTGTGCATGTGGGGGTGTGGGGTGGATAAGGGAAAGAATTGTATTTGGGTGGCTCTACAGATCCAATATGAGGTGTCTGGAAACTGGAAAATCAAATTTAACTGTGTATCTTTAGAGGCAGAAAGATCTAGTAGCCCAAATGGAAAAACAGTGGATGTGAATAGCAGTTCATGTAAAAAACAAAACACAAGTCACTGAAAATATGGTCATGCATCACTTAATGTTAAGGGTTCTGAGAAATGCATAATTATGCAATTTCGTCTTTGTGCAAACATCATAGAGTGTCCTTACACAAACCCAGATGGTATAATGTAACCTACTACACACCTAGGCTATGTGGTACAGCCTATTGCTCCCAGGCTACAAACCTGCACACCATGTTACTATACTGAATACCGTAGGCAACTGTAACACAATGGTAACCATTTTTGTATCTAAACCCAGAAAAGGTACAGTAAAATAACAGTATAAAGAATAAAAAACATAGCACACCTGTATATTGTACAACATGAATGAAGCTTGCAGGACTGGAAGTTGCTCTGGGTGAGTCAGTAAGTGGTGAGTGAATGTGAAGGCCTAGGACAGTACTGTACACTGCTGTAGACTTTA